TTTCTGATCCGCTATTTTCATTTCATTCACTTTAATTCTGGTTCTTTTGGGCTAATACGGCGCCTGCTGTATTTATTTGGCCCAATAGGGTAACCTTTATTTTATTTTGGGATATACATTATTTTTTACAGTATCAGAAGAATTCGTCACCTCGATAAAATAATATTTTTATATTGCATGTCCAAAATTTTAAAATATTATTGTGATTAATTGCAGGCCCATTAAAAAAATATTTTTTAAATTATTATGTGAATTTAAAATTTAAAAAAAATACATTAGAACTCGTCATATAGAGACGACGAATTATTTTAACTTTTATTGCTTTCCAAAATGTGATAGATTATATTGAAAAGAATAACAAACTATAAATATTATATTAGACCTTCATAAATGTATATTAAGAAAAAAAACTACAAACTAAATACATCAACATAAGGACATAAATATAACTAACCTTATGAAACCATAAACATAAAATAAAATCATTAATATTTATAATTGCAAACTATAACATTTAACTAAATTCAAATTCATACATTTATTTAAAATATTTTTTCAACAAAACAAAAAACTTTTCTTCTTCTTGATCCTCTCAATTTTTACATTATTATTTTTTTTATTCTCATTCTTTTTTATGAGTAGTTTGTTGTGTCCGCTTGCTAACTCTTCATTCTTCTTCTTCTTCTTCTTCTTCTTCTTCTTCTCCTTCTTCTCATCCTCCTCACTTTTCAACTCTTTATGTTGATTAAGAATAGACTTTATTGATTTGTTCACCCACTATTCATCTGAATACAAGCTTGAACCCGAATCATCAATATCAAAGTAATAAGACTAAAGATGATCTTCTAAAAATTACCTAAAATATTATTCCCACAAATACATGTTTTTATTCTCCTATAACTCTATCTACTAACTCAACTCCTATTTATAGTTAAAATTTTAAAAAAAGAACGTTGGAACTATTCACATCCAACAATTATTTTCAAATCTAAATGGTTATAAATTTTAAACCCAGACGGAGCTCGTCTAGTATATTTTTATTTTCAAATTTTAAATTCACATAATAATTATTTTCAAAAAAAATAAAATAAAATATTAGACATATAATATAAAAATAATATCCCATAAAATTTGTTACATTCTCTTGACACTGTAAAAAATGATGTAGATCCCAAAATAAAATTAAAGTTATTCTAGTGGACCAAATAAATATGACGGACGCCGTATTGAGAAAAAAAACCCTTTAATCCTAGATGGTGCTAATTTGAGACCCAACAAACCTACAAGTATTTTGAAAAATACTTTCCATATGATGCACCTTTACCAAAAATAACAACGTTTCAATATCTTTAAAAAAAATATCATTTCAGTAAATAATATTATTTAAATACCATTTGATCAAAAATATTGTTTTGATTATTATTCTCATAAATTAACTTATATCTCATATATCAAAGTAAAATCACAATACAAAAATAAAAAATAATTAAATTAAAACATTTAATTAATTGTATATAGACATTTTATTTGACAATGATATTTTATTCTATAAATAAATAATTCTTAAAGGAAGAAACTAACTCGGTTATTTTGGTTTTATAGTAAAATCGATTCAATTTATTTGATTTCAATAATTAATTAATTTATGATTATAAATATTTATTTAGAAGTATTTTTACAATTTTATAATAAATATAATTTCCTTTCGTTTTACACCTTAAAAAATAATTTCAAAGAAAAGAAAAAAACAACAACAATAGGGTTAGGGGTGTATTCGGTTCGGTTCGGTTTGGTTTTTTACCAAAAATTGAACCGAACCGAAATAAACGGGTTTTCAATATTTAAATCGAAACCGAAACCGAATAGTTAAAAAACCGAAACCGATTTTTTCGGTTCGGTTCGGTTTTTTTAACGGTTTGGGTTTTTCGGTTCGGTTCGGTTTATCGGTTTTTCAATAAAAAAATCACTTGAAACTATAATTTTTTTTACAAAAATTGCCTATTCGGTTCAATATGGAACAAATGGGTTCCATATGGAAAACTCGAACCGAACCGAATCAAAAAATGAAGCCTTTAAACCGAACCAAAAACCGAACCGTTTAAAACCAAATCGAACCAAACCGAACCATTTTACTCGATTCGTATCGATTTTTCGATTTTCTCGGTTTCGTTGCTCAGCCACGCTAGATAAAGAAAATGTTATTCTGCACATGAGATACAGACGATTGTAACCACGGCGAAGACAACTTCCTCGGACATTTAAAACTCTTTCCTCTCGTAGTGTCCGTCTTCAAAACACGATCTAAATCTTTCACGTTCTTGTAAACTCTTCAAAAAAAAAAAAAAAAAACAGGAACAACGTGGGGAGAAAAGGTAAAATTTTTATAAAAAATTATAGCTTTTTTTTTGTAAAAAAATAAACAATTGTTTTAATATCCTTCTTGCATCTTTTATGATCTATTTCACCTTGTTTATATGTTTCTTCTTCGCTTTTCCTTCGATATTTGCGGCGTTTACCTGAAAATTTCTGGTTTGAACAGGTTTTCTTCTTCTTCATGTTTTTTTGTAAATGTTTGGTGGGGATTTCTCTCTCTCTCTCTTAATTTCAATCAATTATCATGAACTTGAAGGGGGGAAATGAGTGATTTGGTGGGCATTTTCTCTGGGTTTTTGATTCCATTACTTGTTACTGTTTAGATTTTATTATTATGTTGGGTTTTGTGAAGTATTAATCTGTTGGTCTTTGATTTTATATAATTTGTTATTTTTACAATGAAATTAGTGCAATGTAATGATGTATTCATATTTTTTATATCATGTTTCATGACTAGGAACCTTTGACTATGATTCTGCAGATGAAAATCGGATCCCTTGAATTTGTTGCTGTTATATTGCTAGTATTCTTGTGTATCCCGAATGGCGTGTTTGGGATTAGATTTGTAATCGATAGAGAAGAATGCTTCTCTCACGATGTTAAGTATGAAGGGGATACGGTTCATGTGTCGTTTGTTGTCATTAAGTCCGATTCATCTTGGCATAATAGTCACGAGGGTGTTGATCTTGTGGTAAGCTTCCTCATCTCTTTCTAACTTCGTGTACTCGTATTTCAATTGCTAGCATGTAGTTCAGTTATTGCACTATTGATATTTCTTACTTAGGGCATTGTTAAGAGTGTGAACTGCAAGTTAATAGCGTGTGAAAGTGGGTGATCTTATGAATTTAAATCAGATCTCACTCCTTCATGAGCTGATTGTGAGTCCGGTTCTCAGATTTGGACACCACCTTTACCCCATACCTATTTCTCGAAGTCAGCAAATCAAATTTGAAACTACAGTTAGTATTATACCGAAAACATAGGATTGTAGCACTAATGTATTTTTCATGTCATTAACGCTGACTAGAAACGGAAACAGATTCCAACTTTTTGGCTTCTAGAAACCCATCAGCTGCAAATGCTATTAAGAGTTGTTATTTTTCTCCGAACTTTGGTGATCTTTTAGGGTGGTACTATGTTATTTTGATCTGAATAAGTTAGATTCTGCAATCAGGCTCTGAAAAGATTTTACTTGTAGTGCTTTCAAGTCGAAGAATGAGATGAACGTAAAGGGTCCCCCCCTCCCCCCAATTTTCCTTAGAATTGCCTATTTGCAAAATTGTTTGGGAACTCAGAAGTCTGTCTTATCGAACTTACCACTTGTTGCAATTATTAGGTAAAAGGACCTTCTGGTGATCAGATTCAAGATTATCGGGACAAGATAAGTGAGAAATTTGAGTTTGTTGCTCATAAAAAAGGAGTACACCGTTTCTGCTTCAGTAATAAATCTCCTTATTACGAGACAGTTGACTTTGATGTCCATGAAAGCCATTTTACGTACTATGATCAACATGCGAAGGATGGTAAGTCATGTTTCACTTGCTTTAATGTTTCTCTTCCCTTGCTGAACCTTTAATATGAAGCGTACCGGCTTCTGTTCATCTGCAGAGCATTTCAACCCTTTGTTAGAGCAAATATCCAAGTTAGAGGAAGCTCTTTATAACATCCAGTTCGAACAGCACTGGTTAGAGGCTCAGACAGAACGTCAGGCAATAGGTATATTTGTCTGAACCTTTTTCTATTTTTAACTAAGACAATTCCGGATGATGTTCTGACTTTGATACCTTTGGAACTTATATATCTGCTACTATACCTTCAGACTCATAGGTACCTGGAATGTTTATCTTGTGATTTAGGTTGCTACACTATGTTTAATAGATCTTTTAGATCTGAATACTAGGAATGATTTTTCACAATATTTTACTCACTCGATAAAAGAAGAGTTTATTTCGATATATGTAACTGTACATGGTTTTATCGGAGAACTAATATATAAGTTTCGTTGAATATTGTGAGGACGAAAAAGAAACCTTTGATGTAGACATTGCTTAAAACGCTCTCATATGAATCCTTTCCAGTTTATTTTTCCCTCTAATAATTTTCTTACTGTAATGCAGTAAATGAAGTTATGAGTAGAAGAGCGGTTCACAAGGCCTTTTACGAATCTGCAGCACTAATCGGAGCCAGTGTTCTGCAAGTTTACCTACTCCGACGCCTTTTTGAAAGAAAGCTTGGAATGTCCCGGGTTTAGTTTTTGCACGGCACTGCAATGTTTTGTTAGTTAAGGGATCCTGCAGACTATTGTCATCTCAGGCACTCGATGTACACATTAATACATGAGGTCACTGACATTAACCGTTTCGGTTGAGACTCCACATTTAACATTGTTGAGTGACATAGACTTCAAAGTATGATTGGTGAAATTTGTTTTATGGTCCCATTGATGAATGATGTTCAGCCATAGTCGGAAAACCTGTTTCTCTACATGTTATAAACTGCCATCGAAATCCGGCCATTATCTGAAAACAGGTTATTCTGCATGTTATGAACTTCCTTTGAGATACATCTCCAATAAAAAAGAAGAGAAACAGATGAAAATGAAAAGAAAAAAAGAAAAACGACTTTTTGAAAACACACCAATTACATGTATAACAGCAAAGCACTAAGGATTTGTAACACAGGCGGAAAAGGCAATGAAATAACACAGTTTCTGATAACAACCCACCAAATCAATATATAGATACAGCAAGCGTTTGTCTTGTTTAATTCTTCCCCCAGAATTAAATTTTACACCACAAAATGGAAATCTAGACGGGCTTATCAAGCCCTATAGTTCCTATCTTGTATCGGCATATATGGCGGGGCTTTAACATTCTTGTGGAAGCTCTTAGCCTTATTTGAGTTCATCATTTTGCAGCTGGAGTTTGAATGCAGCAAAACCATTTTTTCTGAAAAATCATCACAGCAACAGTTTATAACGATCATTGCATATGGAAATGGTGCAACATTCAGGGGAACTGTTATTAGATGCCAACAGCATATCATTATACATTACTTACAGGTTGGGTTTTGCCAGGTTCCGCTCTAGGCTTAGCATGAGGATCAGCCTTTGCTGGTGACTCAGGTTTGCCACCTGTTTTCTTCTCGTCCCTTGCCTTGTTAAAGATTACAGTAAATCCCTCAGCAGAGGCAGGATCATTGACATCCCATTCACCAAATTTAGGCAATGGCTGACCCTTTTCCTATTGGGCAAAGTAAAAAGTGAATTCCCATCGAGACACTTATAAAAAGGTAAGCAGATGGACAGAACATCAAGGTAACATGGCCAAAATAAAGCATGTCCGAGTTTTGCCAGGTAGCAAATTGCTACGATGTATTCAATTTCACACTGTTTCATTAATTGCTAGTCCTCTCCAACAAGCATACAGAATTATTCAAAGCTAAAAATTAAGAATTTGTCCACGATCAATAAACAAGGGCATGCCTTACAGAAAAACAATTACTTGTCTACATTGATAGTTCTTAAACTCTAAAAATAGGCTTAAGGGAAAAAGGAGGCTATGATAACCCACTATCAACTGTTTCTCAAGCTGCCAGGGTACTTTCTAGTGTTAGACATAAGATGTTTTTCATTTTTCACATCACTATAGACTTCTATTTTTGTAAGATTGACATACCAGCAAATCTTTTCTGTTCTGAACTAGCAACACATTCAACCGAAGATAAGATTACTGATACAATCTAAACCGTAAATGCTAGTGAAACTGCTTACTAAAGGAGAAAAAAAAAGAACAAACAAATGCAACTCAGCAGAGCTTAGATCACATTGTCTGGTTCATAGCACGGTGTGGCTAAAAAGGCATGTTGTGTTGCAGCTTGCATTATTAAAAACCTAAATAAACAGTGTAGTTCAAATTAACTGAACAGTAACACTGGTTATTGCTGCAGAGAAAGCATTCCACAAACCCTTGTCATCGTAATCACATTTTTTAATTAGGATATCAAACAAAAAATCATAAATGGTTCATGAAACAAGTATTTTAAACAACGGTATAATTGCTGACATAACAATCTTTATCCAAGGGGGATGTTAAGTGGGTAGAACAATGAAAGAAAGCCATGCCAAAATAGCAACAGTGCAAAATACACAGTTCAAACAGAAAGCCTCTACATGAGCAATAATTGAATGTAAATCACAATGACCATTCATGGAGATAAAAATGACCATATAAAATCATATGCATTATCAATATGAAGCCACAACCAGATAACATGAAATAATCACATTCTCGGAAAGATACAGTGAAAAGCTTAACTTATCCAGCAACAAGACAAAAAGGAATCTGCAAAAGGTCGAACACGAAGTTACATAAAGTATCAAAATAGTAGCAAGTCATGCAAATACCTAGCATAATTTAGTGACATCTTTAAAAATATAGGATACCATAGATCCCATAAAGAACTCTATTTATTTAGAGCAGGTCAATTCAATGCAAAAAGATTGACATAAAAGACTCATCTATGTCAGATTGTGAAGAAATATATGGATTACGATATTCACAATCAAGCTGCTATTTGTAGATTAGATATTGTAGAAGTAGGGTTTTCAAGAAGAAAGCTTTTATTTTATTCAGATTTTCTGTTGATTACAAGAGGATACATTTAGGGGTTTTTATACAAAAGTAGATAAGAGTTCTAGATAGGTTAGAAGTTATATTTTCTACAAACTAGGATATTAAAGTTAGAGAAAAGGTAGGAAACTAGAGTTTAATCGTAAAACAACTCACACTCCCCCTCATGCTGGGGAGTAAATGTTATAAAGACCCAACTTGGATATAATTTCATCGATAGTAATCCTCAGAAGTGCCTTGGTCAAGACATCGGCTAGCTGATTTTGTGAAGAGATGTATTTTAGTTCACTGTTCCGTCATTTACTTTCTCTGCAATAAAGTGTCTACTGATCTCCACATGTTTTGTTCTGTCGTGATGTAATGGATTCTTAGCAATACTTATTGCTGATTTACTGTCACTCTGAAGCTGAAAGTGGTTGTTGTCGTACATCTCTAGTTCGGTTAAGAGCCTTTGTAACCAAACACCTTCACAGATCCCGAGTGCTATCGCCCGATATTTTGCTTCTGCACTGCTCCTGGAAACTATGACTTGTTTCTTGCTTCTCCAAGTCACCAAGTTTCCCCAAACAAACGAACAATAACCCGTGGTTGACTTTCTATCAGTTAATTCTCTAGCCCAGCTCGAATTTGAGAAAATCTTTACTGCTCTATCTTCATGTTTTCTGAAAATCAACCCATGTCCCGATGTCATCTTTAGATATCTCAAAATTCGATTTACTGCCTCCACATGTTATTCTCTAGGATCATTCATGTATTGCCTCAAAATGCTAACATAGAAGGTGATGTCTGGCCTAGTTAGAGATAGATAGATGAGCTTACCAACTAACCTTTGACACTGCTCCTTGTTTACAGGATTCCCATCTTTTTTTAACTTCAAATTCACTTCCATGGGAGTTTTCGAGGGCTTGCAATCGGTCATTCTATTCTTAGAAAGTAAGTCTAGAATGTACTTTCTTTGATTTATGACAATTCCTTCTCTTGATCTTGCCCCTTTAATGCCCAGAAAATATCTCAAGGTAGATAACCAAGTTAACCTTTTTCTTGTCTGGAGCAATTTTTACAAACAAAGTGTGATCAGATTGACATTGTTTATAGTTTTCTTGCAAAAGTATGTTCGTGAATCTGTCAAACCAAGCCCGAGGAGACTGTTTTAGATCATATAAAGACTTTAACAACTTGCATACTAAGTCCTTGGTTTCGAATTCTTTTGCTAGTAACGTCTTTTATTTCTAAATTTCTACTAAGTCATCTCCCGTGATGATGATGTCATCAACGTAGACAATCAAGATCGCATTTTTCTTGTCTGGAGCAGTTTTTACAAAGTTTGATCAGACTGACATTGTGTATAGTTGTCTTGCAAAAGTACCTTCGTGAATATGTCAAACCATGCCCGAGGAAACTGTTTTAGACCATATAAAGACTGTAACAACTTGCATACTCGTTGATTTCCAGATTGAATTGTTACCGCTGGTGGAACTCGCATATAGACCTCTTCTTCAAGATTGCCGTTGAGGAATGCATTTTTGACATCTAGCTGATGAAATATCCAATCCTTATTTACGGCTAAGGATAATAGTACTCGATCCAAATTGAGTTTTGCAACCGGAGCAAAAGTCTCTTGCTAGTCTTGTCCATGAGTCTGAGTGAACCCTTTGCCACAAGTCTAGCTTTATACCGCTCAACACTACCATCTGCCTTATATTTCACAGTAAAGACCCATTTGCAGCCGACTGGTTTATTGTCTTTAGGAAGATCGACAATAACCTAGGTTTTGTTGTTTTTAAGGGCCGAAAGTTCTTCTATTGCATGCTTCCACTCGGGACTTTTTAATGCTTCTTCTATGGTCTCTGGAATGTGAATACTGTCAACCTGAGCTGTAAATGTTTTAAAACCAGACATTAGTTTACCATAAGCAATAAATTTATTGATAGGATGAGTTGTACATCGTCGTACTCCCTTTCTTTGAGCAATCGATAACTCACTAGTATCTATCATCACATCCAAATTACTTTGATCGTCTCCTTCGCTTGTCAAGGAATTTAAACCTGGTTCTGGCTCTTGACAATGCATGGCTGCGTAGTGGTCTGTGGGACATGTTTGGGTCGACATTTATAGGTAAGGAGATCAGTTTGGGGAATAAGGGGTGTCATAGATGGTCTTGGCGTTTTAGGAGATTCAGCTGGATTAACGGTCTGGTTTTCAGCATCGGATGTAGTGGTGTTAGGTGGAAGTTTAGTGATGTCAAGTGATGGTTGAGTAGTGGTGGTTCAGTAGGAGATAGATTGATGGGTAGTTCAATATTAATTGGAAAAAGTTGAAATTCATACTCACTCTCCCCCTGGATTTCATCTTTTGAGAAGAACAATTTATGTTCTTGGAATGTAAAATCCATAGCTGTGAAGAACTTTTTGGTAGAAGGAGAGTAGCATCATTAACCTTTCTGAAGAGATGAGTACCCCACAAAGACACACTGGATTGCTCGAGGATCAAGCTTAGATTTAGTGTGGTTATGATCATGGACAAAGACTGTACAACCAAAGACACGAAGAGGAGCAAATGTGGTGAAAGGTTAGAAATGAGGAAAAATTTGTGAAAGAATATCCCGAGGACATTTAAAGGCAAGAAGTTTACTTGGCATACGATTAATGAGAAAAGTTACGGTTAAGAGAGCCTCAACCCAAAGGTATGAACATGAGTAGAAAAAAGAAGTATTCAGGTTATCAAGAAGATGACGATTTTTACGTTCGACTACTCCATTTTGTTGAGGAGTATCAACACAAGAAGTGATATGGACAATTCCTTTTTCCTAAAAGAAAGAACCCAACGAGTGAGAGAAATATTCACTACCATTATCGTACTTAAAAAAGCTAATAAAACTCTGAAATTGTGTTTTATGGAAGCGTTTAAATGTCACCGGCCTCAAATTTTCCCTCATACAAAAAAGTCCATGTAGTACGAGAATGATCATCAATAAAGGAAACAAACCAATGAACCCCATTTAAGCCTTTGACACGAGAAGATCCCCAAATGTCACTATGGATTAAAGAAAATGGTTTAGGCGAACGAGATGGAGAAGGAGGGTATGAATTGTGAATGTGCTTGGCAAGAAGACAAATATCACAAGAAAATGATGCGAGATTTTTGTTCATGAAAAGTTTGGGAAACATCTTTGCAAGATAACTAAAACTGGGATGACCTAACCTAAAGTGCCACATGATAATCTCGACAGCCACATCATTAGGGGATATGGAAACAAAGGAAGATATAATAGGCCAGTTTACTCGGGTTAGAACGGGAGGAGAGGCTTCGAGAATGTAAAGTCCACCAATCACCATCCCAAGTTCAAATCCTGAAATTCACACACATTAGAGTTAAAACGAAAAGTGCAGCTCAAATCCGCAGACAATTTACTAACCGAGAGAAGATTGCAAGCCAAATTCGGAACATAAAGAACATTAGATAAAACAATGTGGCGATTAAGACGAATCGAGCCACAACCCACAATAGGCGAAAGAGAACCATCTGCTGTGTGAACGCAACAAGAGGAACCATCTTTTTTGAAAAATTCGATAAAGATTGAAATTTCCAAGAGAAATTTCCGAGAGACAAAACCAGGTGAAGGGGATAACGTAGCAAAGTCGGGACTACCTTTGCGGACAACACAAGCATGTTTGGGCTCGGAAGCAGACTGAAGTTGACCAAAATTCTGTTTGAGTTCCTCCATTCGATGACAGCTAAAAGAACCGCCTGCAGATTCGGAACAAAATTTCCTTGCGATTCACGCTGGGATGATTTCGAAGGTTGCCGGCGACCGGTGAAGTATGTCGTTTCTAAGTCAAATACTCCCTCCTAGTATCTTCGTTTGTTTTTTGAAACAACATGCCGAGCCTTAACCTGCATAGCTGTCACAACATTTTTAGATGAGTCAACTATGCCTTTTTTAATTGTTCTGAAAAAGCCAGATTAGGTTGGTGTTGAAGCTCCATCAGAGTTATCATCCGCATTGGGATATTTTGAAGGTGAGCACAAGTCCAACCCACTAGTAAACCACGAAAAAGCGGACTGTCCAACATTCCCTGTTGATAACGAGTCTTCTTGAGAAGAAGAGGAAGGCCGAGTAATTTTTAAATTTCTAGTCCATGATGACAACTTTGACGGTGATTCTTGTGTAGTAGTAGAAGAATTTTCCCTGATGAGGGGATTGACCATAGTAGCCGAGAGAAGGCAATAAAGGATCTAACCTAAACTGATACCATGTAGAAGTAGGGTTTTTAAGAAGAAAAGCTTTTATTTTATTCAGATTTTCTGTTGATTACAAGGGGATACATTAGGGGTTCTTATACAAGAGTAGATAAGAGTTCTAGATAGGTTAGAAGTTATCTTTCCTACAAACTAGGATATAAAAGTTAGAGATAAGGTAGGAAACTAGAGTTTAATCGTAATACAACTCACAAATATCCAATAAGACATAAGTAACAAGACATGCCCTCTGAAACCCCCAAGAAAAGCTAATTTTCTCTGCTGAGCGTCCTTCAATATCTACACCGAGTATTGAAAAGAACTTGATCAAAATCCTAGCTTACCGCTTCCTACTTCCCAGCTTCTACAATTAATCAGAAACTACATTTTCCACACAAAATCAGTGATAAATTGATCAAACCTTCCTGAATCATATTCATACAAAGATTCTATAAACACATCGAAACAATTCACCCATTTGTCAACACATTCCATCTTCATCCAATGTAAATTTATCTTGCAAAAAAATATTTCCAATCCGTAAATAATGTCATTACATAAATAAATGCATACAATTCATCAGTTAAACATAAAAAAAAAGAAAAAAAAATCCATTTTCCAGAAAAAAGCAGCAAAACGCATCAAGGAAAGCAGCTATCAAAAGATGCAAAAGGTAAATTTAGAACTCTGATCATCATCAGCAAATGAATTTTTCACTTAAAACCCAGAATAAGAAACCCAAAAACTATATGATTCAAAACAACCCAAAGCTCAAAACTACAAAATAAAAGAACAGAAATTAAATCACACAACAAAATTAGACCTTTCTATTAATGAATTTGAACAGAAATGAAAAGGGAAACAAAAGCCCGGAAAGATTACATACCGACATGAATTCTCGAGATAAAACTTTACTCTTGAAGAGAGAGAGAAGTATGTATAGAGGGGTATAGTAAGAGAATGCGAGTTTTTAAAGAGAGAGAAATGAGATTTTTTTTTGGGAGGAGAGTGTGAACAAAGAGAAAGAAATAAGAGGAAAAAAAAATTGGATTGGGGATAAACGGCGTTCGTTTGGACTGTTAACGGAAAAGGAATGGGGAAACTGAGTCGTTAGATTCATTACTGAATTGATGACGTGGAGACGGGCACGGGCTGACGAGGGGACCCTCAATTTCAAAGTATATTAGAGGTCACCGAATTATGTCAAAGGGGTTATTTTGGTCAAAATACTTTTAAATATTATATAATGGTCATTCCATTTCCCAAATAATTATAAAATGGTCATTAAAGTTTATCAAAATTTGTAAAATAATCATTAATCTTATCAAGGTATTAAAATATAATATTTAAATTTATCAACATATCATGATATTAATTGAATTACATTTAATCAATTACAATAATTTTTATAACAATAACTGTAAGAACTAAAATAGTTTCTTTCTTTGGATAAAAAATGAGTTTTGTTATGCATTTAAACTTAAATTTTACCATTATATATGCTGAATTACAAAAAAGAAAAGAGTAAACTACGCCAGTGGTCACTTATGTTTGGAGTAGTTTTTGTTTTCACCACTGATGTTTAAAAAGTTAAAAAAGAAAAGGGTAAACTACGCCAGTGGTCCACCTCATGTTTTTTTTTTTCATCTCATCATCTTCTTAGTAATTTCATTGTCTCTATTGAGTGCCCTTTTCGTTGTCGGTCATCATTGTCCCATGTTTCATCGTTTTTCATCTCAAATCAACCGTTAATCGAACACCCATCCATACCATTGCTTCAGCTATTATAGCTAAATCAATCGTCACATTAACTCTGCAACCATCCCTACTTAACGCATGCCAAAACGAAGATGGCGTGTCTTGTTAATTAGCCACCTAGCCACGTCATTTTATATTGGAGTGCAATGTGTTGTTTTGTTAGCTTGAGGATTTATAGATTTCATTCTTAATACAAGCATCTTTTGCAGCAAGAGTTTAATAACAACAGCAATCAATTTAATCTTCGATCCTGCCTTATGATTCTTAGGTAACACACTTAAAAATTTCCAACTGAATTGATTCAACATTGGTGATCTCTAGCGATCAGAGCCTTCGTTTGAAAATCTCAATAGTAGAAAAGCCCCTCTAAGGTAAGGAGTAACACGTACATTTCCATTCGGACTCCGTTCAATAATAAACGATAGAGATAAAAGAATAAGAAAATCAAGCGTTCAACACTAGATTTATTGAATTTAAAGTGTTTTTCTGATTAAATAGACATCAGATTCATGTTTAGAAGGGATAAATGAGTCCAGAAGGAAATTTTAGAACTCAATATTGATTGTCAACGATGATAGTCGACGGTGGTCAGAATGATGGCCATTGCAATGGTCGATATATATATATATATATATTTGAAGAATTGATTTTGTTAAATTTAAGATGAAATTACAAATATTTCATTTATATATAGTGACAATCTGTGTCATATTAACATATTTTAGAGAAGATTAAATTCTTCTTATACGTGAAGCAAGAAGAAAAATTGCAGATATTGATAGAATTGAGAGTTATTTCTAGCACTTGGATCCTTCTTTGCACTTGAGCGTCCCTGCAAAACGAGTAAGTCTTCTAACGAATGTTGACGGCTTTGCTTTGATAATTTCCTTCTTCTTAAATTTAAAACCAGAAGTTGGAGGTGTCCCAGAAGTTCTGAAGAAGGCTCCGTTCATGAGCAAATCTCCTTCTGATGTCCATAACCAATGCTTCCATTCTGATTCTGGTGCATAATTCCTGTTAGTTATCTGCAGAAATTCAATGAACAAAGACAAATTAGTGGTACAATCACATACACATTTATGGTAACATCATGTTTTTTATGCATTTACAGAATAACATATGGTATAGATTATTTATTTATATTTTCATCACCTCTTTAGCATTGGGGTCATTTGGAGCAATGAACCTATTGCCTTGGCTAACAATGGTGGGATGAGCGCTACCACCAATGGCATACATTTTCCAGTGAGTGTAGTCATTATTGACTACATGGAAGAATCCCCATCGACATCTAGGCATTCTTTGTACCAATTCCTTACCAAAATGGTTGAATGCGAGTGTGACTTGCATATAATAATCTTTTTCGAATGATTCGTTTCCGCCCAACAAGATCACCTAAAAGAAAATTTCGAAAATATTTAGTTGAAAATTGAATGATAAGATGTGTAGCATGACGAGTATTTCGAGGTATAACTTACATGGTCATGATGGGTGAAATGGCAGTTTGAGATGGTGATGGCGGTGGAACCTTGTATTGCGTCAATGAGTCCATCCTGACACTCGGACATTGAAATATGATCGAGCCAGATATTTGATGATCCAAAGATGGAAATCCCATCTCCATCGGCGACCGTTCTTAAACCGAAATGATCTGTAGAGTCTCTGACTAGACCACCTTGACATGTAATGATACGATGAACGTGAATGTTGTGAATGATGACATTGTGCACAAATTGGAGTGTAATACCACATCCATATGCTATATGAATGTTTGCTCCACGACCGTCAATCGTCATATCACTTTGAACTAACAGCTCTTTCGACAATTTGATGTGCATATCATGAGCAAAAAAAATCCATAAAGGCCTCATTTGAATCACGGCATGACGTAAAGTCCCTGGCTTAGGATTTACAACATCATCATCAGAATTATCAGTCACTAAATAATATTCTCCATCCACTCCACCACGAGCTTTGTAGCCGAAACCAAGCACACATTTTGCCAATCTTTTTCGATTCTTAGCCCAATTCTTCCTGCACCGCCAACATCTATCAATTGGATTGGTTGCCAAGCACGGACCTTTGTTCTTCTTGTGTTTACCCCTTAAGGATCTTCTCGTTCTATTAGTTATAACGCCTTCAAATTCTGTAGTTTGGTTGGCCCTAGCTTTATCAAGAACCCTGCAACATGTTGTCCAAGATTGTTAATATTATTGCGTACATACACGAAAGATTGTTAATTTGTTATATAAAAAGAAGAAACAGAAGAAAGAAGAGGTTATAATAGGATTTACTTGTTGACATTATAGTTGAGATGATTGGTGATATTTTCTGGACTGGGTTCATAAGAGGCCAACGCAGTCTTCCATGCTTCTTCTTCACGTTGCTTCCAAAAATCATCAAATTCAGCAATGTTTGCCCATATTTTTGGAGTTAGGGTGAAAACGGAAAAGAGGAAAATAAGCCTTAGCTTAGTTTCCTCCATTATTGTTTTCTTACGATATGGTTCTTGTTTTTGGAATATTTATACTTGTTTCAGAAGGGCATTTTCAACTTCAACTATACTAAAAAAAGGTGATCTATGCTCTGAATTTGCCAGCTTAATTTGGATATTTTGTGGGAACATGCAATTACCTATAAATAGACCTTCCGTGAAATTATTTACTTCTTAAATTAAAGTGCATAAATAGTTAATTGTTATCTTTACAAAATTATAGATCAAACTATATTCCTTCAAAATCGGAAAAGACTCAAACTTCACCAAAAATTAATTAGTATGATTATTTTTTTAATTAAGATAAGGTAATTATAAAGTAGTATCTATTATAAATCCTCTCAAACATTTGACAATGAACACTCAATCGCACATGCTGGGGTCGTTGGTGCTCGAACTCAATACCTCAAAAAATAACAACAATTTCTTTAACCACTAAAATAATTTGATTCGTGATTAATATGATTATTTGACAAACACAAGTCATTGCTGATCATTGTGACATTCGTATGACAATTTATAATATTGGCGTAACTGTTTTTGATGTATATATAATTATTTATATGTGAATTATAACATGATAGATGAATTTAATTATTTTTTAAAAAAAATTAAAGACTTAATTATTTAGGGCAGCCGACTAGCTCCTTAAGTTTGCTTGCACGTACAACCTCCCATGATAGAATTGAAGATTAGGGAATGAAAGGACTGGACGTGTGAGTTTTAAGAGGTTGTTGGATTTAAGTTTGTTGTTAGGGGATGAAAATAAGTAGGATAATTCCAATTTAAGGGTAAAGTATAATTAATCATAAAAAAAGGAGGAAGATAAAATTAAAATAAACTAAAATTTGGGACTCTAATTTAATATATTTCCATGTATTTTTTTAATAATAAAAAATGGGAGAAGCGGTAGCCCCCAGGGCAAAGGGTAGCTCTGTCCCTGGATAAATCGAGGAAGTGGCTAGGTAGTGGTCTAACTAAAAATTTTAAATTATCATAAATTTTATATTCATATTTTTTTATTAATAATTTATTTTTATCTCTAAAATTTTAAAAATTCGCTCTCCTATACCCTAACATGAAATCTTACATTCATTCTTGACAACAAAATTAAGACGTCCTTCGATGAGATCCAAAGCAACGAGAAAGAATGAGAGAATCAGAAACAAAGAGCGTGGAGATAGTAGATAAGATGGAGTGTAAAGACTAAGGAGGGCATTGGATGTGGATGATGGTGGCCAGAGGAGAAAGTCGATCAAGAAAATATTAATTTTTTAATACTATGTCATATGTCAATCGTTGATTGGCTCAAATATTTTTAATATTTTATTAAAATAAATATTTAATTGTTTAATTATTAAGGATGAGACTAAAAAAATATAAAACTTCTAAGGACTAATCTTGTTATTATAGAAAGTAAATAATTTTTTCTTAAATAACACATGTCACTTTATGATTTGTCTCACATGCTACTTTAGATTTTCTAACTGAAATAATTAAATTCGTTGAGGTGAAATATATGAAATTGAGATAAAAAAATTATTTGTATTACATTGAGAAATTCGATAAAATTTTTGTATAAACCAAACAATTAACCTGCTAAAATTTAACCAATGGCACCTACCATCGTGCATAGGTGTATTTAATCTAATTATTGACTAATTTAAATTGAATACTGCGAGGCAATATCAATTCTTTCAACCAGTTTGTTTTATTTACAACAGTCAAGATTCGAACCTTT